TCAATTCACAATAAAAGTTCTCTGACAGAAACATGACGATATAAAATCGGCAGACTTGAACCAACTAGGTTTCATTGAAACACAGGACTTTCAAAGAAGATAGAGGTTGTCCAACAAATCTTGTCATGAAGGTTCAAACCATCATTTTGGTCCAGTTTAGTTTTTCAGCCAGTTAGCAAACAGCAAGAGGAAACTTCCGCAAGGACCACTAACCGGATCCTTATTTGTGATACCTCACAATTTTTTTGACTTGAGGAATAAGGCTTTCATCTTCTTTCAGAAGAGTGACAGCTTATAATTGATGACAGTCCCTTGCACTTTATTTTGATTCTTTTTGCCTTGAGTAATTGCAAAGTCTCGGGGGCAGGTTCAGCAGCCGGTATTTGTTTCCAGCATCGTAGTAGATTGGTGCAAAAAGTTTGGCGCAATCATTGCCATCCAGATTGAGATGAAGATTCATCTCTTGAAATGTCTTGATTGGATAGTGCACCCCGTTGATACCCCAAATAGACAGTGCACAGGCAGATTGAATCTCAATGTCGAGGTATGGCGCTGTCTCGTCAAGAGACACAATGAATTTCTGAAGCGGAAACAAAAATTGAGCCGTTGGTAATATGGGTTGAGTATTCGAGCACTGCATAAGTGTGAAATAGATCGCTCAGCCGAAAGAAAATTCGCTCCTCTGAAAAAACGCGGCAATACGTGTGTATAAAATATGGTTCAAAGGTGTCCCGTTCTGCACATAAAGTGTAAACCCCAAACGAAGAAAACCTGTCTGCAAAATCTTCTTCTTGTATATGCTCCAGGCCCTGCCACCTCCCCCCTCCCTCCCCCATGGGTTGGGTACCCCCCCTCCCCCCTGTGGTGTGGTGGGTGGTGGGTGTGTGGTACTGTCCCCTTCCCCCCCCCTGTGGTGTGGTGGAGGGGTACTATGTATGGAATATGTAGTACATGTAATATATATAAATATATATATAGTATGTATATAAATATATATTATAGATTAGTATGGTGCATATGCAATAAATATATATATATATATGCGTGTATATGTGTATATATGTAAATATGTGCATGCAACGCATATGTATATAGTGCATATGTACCTGTATATATATATCTACATATCTATATATGTATATATGTACCTATGTATATATGTATATATGGATATATGTATATATGTATATATGTATATATGTATATGTGTATATATGTATATATGTATATATGTATATATGTATATAT